GATAAATGGGGGACGGTGAGTTTCGTTTCGGTGTGTGCAATGATTTTCGGTTTGTGACATTTTCTTTTTTTAGTGCCCTGTGAATTCAATCTGTTCGCCAGTCATGCCCAATTGATATACTGAAGCTATTCCGTAAACTTGTCTGAAAGCGTGCGTCGTAATTGGAGGAAGAAGCAAGAACCCTCTAATTATGGACGATGGGACTTTATCAGTACTAATTAAATACTTTGCCATGACAGCAGTATTCTGCATGTAGCAAGCTTCCTCACCAATTCAATTCGTGAGACACACTTGCCAAACTTTTCTTTACGAACATACGAAATGCTAATCTTTTTATTATAACTTTTTCAACATAATTGCACGTAACAAGAGAGAGAGAGAGAGAGAGAGAATTCTATACTGAAAGGCAGAGAATTTAGTGCACGTAACAAGCATGCTTGATGCTGTATTCAGAACAGCGATGCATTCACGTACGAGAAAGCTGTTCCAAAAATTGGCGTTTTTCGGCATTAGTCTTCGCTAGTTCCATATTACAGAAAATCTAGTAGCACCCCTATACGGGGTAAAAAGATTGAGAACGCTCCAGTGATGCGGAAATATTTATGAGAATGCATATCGCATATAAAGCTCCGCACTACCGGAAGCAATTTAACATGGAACACGGCCCGATGTGCATGATCATTTCTGCGTGTCGTATACTGTGTTGATCCCGCTGTGTTGTGCCGATTCTCATCCTATCCTTTTTTTTTCTTAATTTTCTGCAATATATGACTTCAAAGGAAAGACAAGAAAAAAAAATACGCGCCTTTGCATATATTGTTACCAAAGCAACAACAAAAAAGAAGTGCATGGTGTAAGCGAGTACAACACGTGTTCCCAGGAGAACTGAAACGCAATTGAAACGTTATTTCAAAGCTCACTCGGTTGAGTGCTCAAGCGAATCCCCCAAGAAAATTCCACGGCACGCAGTGGTTCTTTTGCAGCAGCTTATTGTTTAACAGTAAGCTTTCGCTCTCAGCCAACTCCGGCGCCGCCTATTTGGAAACGCGAGTAAAATGCGCCAATTTTCGTCGGAGAAAACCGCCAGGCCGAGTTTAATACAATTTCGAATAATTAATGAAAAAAAAAAACGTCGAACTCTACCGTGACTGTTAAATGCAGCATTCCATATTATGGCCCCCAAATGTTAAGCAAGGATTGTGCACCATCGAAAAGATTAAAAAAATAAACGCATATGCAGCAAGTTTGCAGGTTCTTACGCGACTTTTCACGAAAAACTGGCATCGCAGCATCCACGACGTACAAATAAACAGCATCTAATTGGATGCAGTGCCGATAAAAATCATTTTTGTTCGTGTACTTTGATTGGAGCTAGATAAAACTTCCTATCACGCATATTCTTAGCCCAAGCACGTACCTCATGTATGTAAAACCTTTTTGATATTGTTCAGTAACATTTGTTACAATAATACGTTCACGGAATGCTGTCATTGAAGGGTGTTTTTTCATGCACCAGCTAAATTAGCTGAAAAGCCTTTTGTGAATACGAGTCCTGGTCTCAAGTTCACAACTACTTCTTTGCCATATCATTAGCAAAGCCAACAACAGAGATAACCTTCGAGCAAAAGGCTTTCTGGATACGGGTAGTTCTTTGTTAAACGTCCATTGTGTCTATAGTTTTCAGAGAACAGTCGCTACATGCGTTCAAAAGGGGCCGGAATGCAAACACAAATAATACTTCATTCTGTACGCATAGTTTGCAAATGAAGGTTAGTCTTGATTACTATGTTGTTCCTATATACAATGCTCGTCCAGTTGTCGGTTGGTTGGGGCAGACAATCTAAACTTCGACGCATCGGCAAACGCACTTCTGAGTGCGCGAATACCTGCCGGTAATTACGAGCGCCTACGCCAAGACGGTCGCACGAAAGAGTGCGAGTGTATAAATGCCCAGACGACTCACAACCTTGAAGTCTCTGGAGGCAATAATGATCTGTCGTTGCAACAGCTGCCGCAACCGCGTGCCTTGACCACACCGCTCAGGCTAAAAACAGCATTTGCCTTTTTTTATCAGCCAGCGGCCGCGAACATAATGTAGCTCTATACTGAGTGTGTAGAACGGGTCAAATATACGTAGTAGAACAAGAGTAATTACCATATTTTGGACTAGTGTCTCTCAGCGAGGAAAACGAAAAAAAAAGTGGTCCAATCGGCATCAAAACAACTCCGGGAGAACTTATGCGCAGAGCTGAACAGCGGGCGAGAAAACTCCAGGAGGGGATTCAGGGTTTTCCTAGGAGTCAGCTTCTCCGCACATGTGCTGATCGTGATGGTGATCACAAATCTTAAGCTGCCTAACCTGGCATAAGCACGCTCTATTTTCGCTTTTGACTAATCTATTCATGGTTCACATACACGAAACGCTTAGAGAAGACCGGGAGCACCAACCCTCTACATCACTTTTTTTTTTTTTGCTTCACCGAAAAAGGTGACTGCTGAGTGTCTAAACAGCAAGATGCCCAACACAAATGACCGAATGGATTTTGTCAGCACCTATAGTGTACGGTATATAGCATGTAACAGATATAGTTGTACACTAAAGCCGAACAAATCGCAGTTATGCCTAGTCGCTTCAGTGAAAGTATATACTTCACGTTGAACTTGATTGAAACAATATATAGGCTGCAGAAATGCAAGAAGGAGATTTAAATATCTCACCTTCACCTTTGTGTGCATATATGCGTACAGCCTCTGCTGGGGATTAACACGCAAGAAGCATATGCTGGACGCCTTGTATAAAAGAGACGCAGACGTTGGCGACATGACAGTCCAAGTAGGCGCATGCGAGAAAACACCGAGAAAAACAAGCTCCGTCTTCAAGATAAACGCTAACGCGCCTCATGCCATCAAAACGTCTGTAGTTCAGTGCAAAATCGCGTGTGTTATTTCGCTTTTTTTTTACCATCGTACATATGATCTCGTGGCTGGGTATGCCTAAAGGTTTCGGGCTATTATAGCTGAGGTGCACACACGGTATGCACAATGGTTCCATAGAACACGTGTTTCGCGATTTGGGCGAAGGGCGACACAGGCATTCAGTAAATCAAAATGGTGAAATAAAGGTCACAGCTGGCGCATGCAGTTTGTCCTTTCGACGTACAGTATGGTCCACTGTTAAAGAAACCACTCGAATGCACGCCATCAATATTCCTGGCCTTCTAAGAGGAAGTGGATTGAGAAACAAACTTCACGCAAGTTAATAGTCTGTCAAGGGGCGTCAGAACTTGACCACCAGCAGCCTTATGCATATCTAAGCCGCTATGACTCCGTGAGATAGCGAAATCTAAACATGCTGCTCACGCAGGTGTTCCCTTTAACAGTGGACACATACATTTTCGCTGCACCCACCAGGATATACGCAAAAAGATTGTAGTTTAAAGACATCATCCATAAGCCCCGGTAATCTTTCCAACTCAGGGAAGAAGAAGCAGTGGCGAAGTAGGAGGAGTTTAAAGCCACGACGTACCATGGTTAACCAGGAGTCGAAGAAGCCGACTCGAGAAACACGGCCAACACCATGAAAGCATGACTTCGCTAAGCTGAGTGTCTCAGCTCCTGCCACACGAAGCCGCAGGACCAGTTGGATGGAACAACAGTTCGAGGATTTGTGTACTTGGGAAGTTAGCGCTCTGCTAATTAACCGGTCGCGTGGTTTCCGTCGACGCAGGGTAGGCCCATACGCTTTAGGCAGCCGTGCCCCCCCAGTATATATAGTTTTCCGCGCGACAAAGGATCTCTGTGCAAACACGCCGAAAGCGTGACCGTTTCTGGATGCGCGGAGGAGCCCAAGCGGCACGGGCTTTGGCCGCTGCAACAAGATTCAAGAGCGCACCTCCGGTTGGCACAGGGAGGGTGAAGAGGGTTGGAAAACGCTGGGAGGTTGTTGCTGGAAGAATGCTCGCGGCACCCTTCGATCAGGGCCCCCTCGCGTGCAACGTCGCCGTCCGTTGACTTGTGCTCGCGCTCCTCCCCGGTCGTTGGCGAGTAATTGTGCGCGCGTGTTCACCGGCATCTCTGCTCGTAAGACGCTGAGATCGCCGCACAGGCCGCGGCCGAAGGGCCGCAAACCGTTTGCGTGACCGCAGGCATTCCGCGCGCACGTGCCGCGCGTGGTTGAAGCAACGCTCAGCGTCTTGTAAGCGATTTCAGACCGATAACGGGGGGAGCACAAAACAGTGTTTCACAGCAAGTGTCTCTTCTGTTTTCCGTCCTCTAGATGGCCGCGCTTTCCCTCTGCCGCGTTCCTGCGATGCCGACTTGCTCGATGCCTTTCTCCATAATTCTTGTGCATTTTTTTTTTACCGGGACGCAAATGTCTGGTAAGTACATCGCAAAGAGTGAGAGAACGAGGGATGTATAATACGAGGGGGGGGGGGGGGGGGGCTGCGGCTACCACCAATAATGCCCTCTCGCACACCACCCCCTTCCTCTTGTATGCATTCTTATACCTGCAAACTTTATTACTAGACAAACCATAGTTTCTGCCCTACTGTATTTTAGTTTATACCAATAATGTCAACTCCGCAGTATGAGTGAGCCCAATGAGTGCGCGGCGCACGTCTTCCCTGTGTGGAAATTTGAATGAGCGTCCGGAGGTTGCGTCAACAGGTTTACTTCTTTAGGATAGAGCGAAGTAACGCTTAAGCAATAAAAATGAAGCCACTGGTTCGCGCAAAGTTTTCAAGCAATCATGCGCGCGCGCGTTGAACTTGTTTACGCTGCAGCCCAGACACGTCATGTGGGCCCCCAAAGTGGACCGATGGATGCGCGTGGCCCTCCCCCTTTCTTGCCACCCGCTGCATTCTGGCTGTCATTTGGCTACAGCGCGTACTGTACCGCGAATGGGCTAGAGCTCGGAGCGCTGCCCAAGCAGCCACCTGTTCAGGCGGTTGGTTGGGAGCGCTCTCTCTTTCGCCCGGCTTTTCGGAGGAGTCACTCACCGCTATCTCCTCTTCTCTGCTTGCGAGCCTCGGTCAGTGGCGGTGTCCGCGCAGCTCCCTCGTCCTTCGGCTCGGTGGCTGGTTTTTTCGCGGCGCGCGGCTTGGACGCTGCTCTGTCTCAGGAGCCGGCAGTGTGCGTCTGGCGGCGGGCACAGCTCCTTTCTCGCCCGCAGTGAACGTCGCTCGCCGGCACTTGCGGAGGCGAGCGGCGCGCAACGTCACGCGTGACGTCATGAGAGAGAGGCGCTGTCCGAGGGCGAAGGACGAACGCTGAAACGGGAACGCGTGGAGGAAACAGGTTTTTAGTGAATGGAGAGACCGGGCGAGCGCGCGCGCATATGGCCCGGACCGCACTCGTTTAGTTAGTTACATTCTACGCGCACTTCTGGGCCGCTTTCGATGGGAACGTTTATATATGTGTGTCATTTTGGCGGCGCGGCCGCGGAAACGCAGGGAGATGGGGAAGGCTACGTCTTATTATGCAAGGTCGATGACCTGAAGTTGTTACGTGAACGGTTACGGAAAAGGAATCACGGCGGCTTCAAAGTAGTGGATTTGTGAAAGGAGGGTTTCAAGGCGGTGTCGCACCTTCCCACCTCCCGGACTGGTACGCGGACCTTTCCCTGGTGAAAACATTAACTGTTCCCATCACTGACTGAACTTACTGTATGCGTACAGGTAATATACTGGAATGCAACAAGCGCTGCTTAAGTAAATTTTAAAATGTGATCACAACGACTATTTATTCCATGTGTCTCCCTAAATAAGCAGCTACTTCGACTTTCCTCTGTCTGGGTCACCCATTGAGGAAAATTCGGAAAGCTATACGCTTCTATACACTAGCACGCACACTAGAACCATTTGTCGTAGCGAGTTTTAATCACCGAAACATGTGCATATGATAAGAACAATAACAGAACTGCAGCTACGTTTCACTATTTTTCGCTTTCTTTGTTTTAATTCGTTGCCCCGCCGCGGTGGTCTAGTGGCTAAGGTACTCGGCTGCTGACCCGCAGGTCGCGGGATCAAATCCCGGCTGCGGCGGCTGCGTTTCCGATGGAGGCGGAAACGTTGTAGGCCCGTGTGCTCAGATTTGGGCGCACGTTAAAGAACCCCAGGTGGTCAAAATTTCCGGAGTCCTCCACTACGGCGTCTCTCATAATCATATGGTGGTTTTGGGACGTTAAACCCCGTTTGCTTCGGATGCAGCGCCATGGCGAAAATAAGCACTCTCAGCACCTTATCATGAGTCGAAAATGAGTGACTCGTTGAAAATTAGTCATTTGAGCATTCCACCAGATTAAAAAACGCGATGTCGAATCATCAAGGGCAGTTCCATACAACATAACTTTTGTACAAGCAGAGAGGGAAGGGGGGGGGGGGGGGGATGACGTGGGAAAGTAAGCAGTTAAGCGGAAGAAAATCTCTTACCCTACACTGGCGTAATGTTCCCCACTGCGCACATTGTGAAAGTCAAGATTTTTAGAAAGTAAGAAGCACATTTGTCAAGATTCACGAAAATGATCATCCACAGTTATTGAACTCTAAGTGGCCTCACTGAAAGCGATATAAATGTATGAATAAATAAAGGAAACGATCATCCTGTTTACGGGTCCCGAAATACTGGCGCAGTAATCGTGAAACCGCCAGTTTTGTAAAATTTTACGTCCTTTTTAGGTCCTCCTGTCATCCGAGATTAAGCTTATGGATACATAGAGGTAATGGTAATACAAACAGTGCCTCGTTATTAAGACAGAGTACTCACAGAGAGTATAACGAAAGACGCAAACAATATGAGCGCCAGCATGGGCGTTTCCTCACAGCGATAATTCCTTCTTGTTCGCTCGTACAGCGGCAACCATTCTTCAAAGTCGACATTGTCGGTCCCGCAAAACGTGCCAGGGTCTTTCAGCTGGGGCAGAACTACTGTCATCGTTGCGGTGGCCGCTGCGGAAGCTGGAGCTGAACCATCTTGTGCCATCGTGGAAGCGTCGGCCGCTGCGTAGCTCCGTCTTGTTACCTCGCACCTCCACCAAAATGTCACGGGGTGAGAGTAGGCAGAGGGTAGAAATATATTTACAGATCGTACACGGAGTACATAGTGACCTTGAACCAAGATGGCGTAGTGGAAACAACAACACGAGCTCTTGTACAATCGTAATCTTCATCGCCTTTATGGTGCATTCCTTGATGTTAATGATGGCTTGTATCAATATGCAATGCAAAAGTTCTGCGTGATCCCAAATCAGCTTTCTTTTATTTTTAAAAAAGCCGACGGAGGCGCCTTACGCCACTGCATCAGGGTGGTAAATAGGGCTAAATATACACCACATGGAAACGCTGCTGAAATGGCGTATGCAGGAGACGGAAGTGCGCCCACAGTGTGCTTCGTTTAGATGTTCATAAAGCTTTCCTGGTGCCGATTCGTGTCACTTGTATACATACACGATGCAACGAATCGCGGTTTTTTTGAAGAAATAAAATATTTCAGCTTAATGTTCAATCGAGTTCCATCGGTGTTCAAAGTTCGGCGTGCAGCCAAAATTTCATCCACGAAATAAGTACGAAAAGCAATCCATTCTCCCAGATGCATAGAAAGATGAAACTCTTAATGAGTACGCCACCGTGTATATGCTGATAAAAGCGTATGTCAAGATGGGATCGTAAGTCATTCACGACACTTGTATACATATTGCAGAAAAGCACCAAGTTGGGCTAGTTGGTCACTGATGTTCATTTTTAATTTTCTGCGCAGTTGTTTGTCCTAGCGCAATAAAACCTTTCAAGAATACATGCTTGCAAACGAAATGTGCGTAATGTGTAAGTAGACTTTATTTCACCCTGCAAAAATAAATAAAATCTGGTGACGCCATTTGCCTGCAGGTATATGCGTTCTGCATGCACGCCGCTCTTATGCGATTGCAACCTCGATGCAGCTTATGCAGTCTGTGTTTTCTGCGTTGCGTCTCTATTTTCTGAAATTCCCCTAAAAGGGCGACATTACATGATTAAGCGTTTTTTGAGAGCGCCACGTGATGGTTGCCAGACCATGCCGTTTCGATCTTGCAACAGCGTTGAAAGAGAGCCCCTAATTTAAAATGTTCCTAAATTTATTGATACGATTGAAGCACATAACGATAGAAAGTTGAACCGCCGGTGGGAACTTGGGGTTTGTTGTGGAATAAGCAGGACGTGCAAACACCGCGGACACAGAGACGAGGACAGGTACAACACAAACTCGCACTAACGAACGAGAAGACGTGGCTGTGGCAAAAAAAAAAAAAAAGGTGTGTCAGGAAGAGCGGTGGCATTGTCATTCTTGAACTTGCGCAAAAAGAGACTTTTTTCTTATTCGTTGGCATGAGATGTTGGCGCACAAGTAAGGCGTTGGTCTGTATATTTTCTTTTCAGTGCGACCTTTCAGTTGGTGGTGTTGTGACTCCGGGTCCTTCGGGACTCAGTTTGGTAGCGGGCCCCCATCGTAGGAACCATCGTCCAACAAGTCACATGAGGCGCGCGTAAGAACGACAACAATTTATTTACATGCATAGTAAGTACTCAAGATGTCTGAAGAACTGAACAGGAGAACTGGAAATATACAAAAGGTCTTCCGCTTATATGGCACCGCGTTGCCAACCCTGGGCGCATTGTCTGCGGCTTCAGCCAATACGGTGCTCGATGATCTAGGTGCTCTGTCATCGGCACTGGACTTCATACAGCCAGATTCCCCAGCAGCGTCCCGGCGCCCGCACAAGGCCACACCACGTAAACACGGCCGAAATCACCGGCCGCGTTTCGGCGCTCACACAAGACACACTACACTACGTAAACATAGACTCTGAGCCCTGAGCAAGTCCGCTCGGTGCGGTTTCCATGAAGCGTTGGTTCGACGAACATTCAAAAAGAACTAAAGAGAACTGGGAGCCGGAAACGCATAGCAACGCATCGCCAGAGAAGAGAGCGAGCTGAGACACGAGTGGCGTCGGACGTAGCCGATCGAGTTCCAGCACCGAATCCCGTTTTCTTCTACATGTCACCACTGCCGATTCACTCGTAAATTTAGTATATACAGTATACAGTTTTCTTCTTTAAAATCGAACCTTGCCTTAACTCAATCATTCACCCATCGCTGACATTGTCCACCCACGAAGGCGGGGAAAGACACCACACAATGCACGTGGAGAGGGCACAGTATACACGATCCCCAAATATGGTCCCAAACGCACTGAACCAAAGTTTTGCACATGTCACTAAGATTTTGCGCACGTCCGACGATCTTAGATTACCATAGTTTCCAAAAACTCTTCTAGCAGTTGGGTGAGGTTTGAAAGACCGGCTTCCGGTACACGTGCCAATCTTACCTGACTGCCTGACGATAGTTATAGCGCGAGAACAAAACGGCGACACAGAGACAAGAAGGACACGAAAGACACGAGCGCTGTCTCTGTGTCGTCGTTTTGTTCTCGCGCTATAACTATCGTCATGCCATACCAACTAGCCCAAGCTGCCACACTTCTAAGTTACCTGACTGCGTTCGGGTAGGACAATGTAGTGGCCTGACCGCTTATCGTCAAAACATGCCACTCCATTTAGCCGATCCTATAAAAAGGAGGGGAAAGGAGGAGTGTTCGACTAATCCCTCGTCGTAGAGGCGCTGAGGCGTGCTTCCGCTGCGCCGTGCTCTTTAACGGGCTGCAGAAATTAGGCGTCTTTTCTTTCCTCTAATCCCAACCACCACCACCACCACCAAGGGCTGCAGAAGATAGTGCCTTTTTCCTTTCCTTCAACCACACATTCAATTTCTCCTCATTTGCTACAAGTTACGGCTTAACTGCGAATTTCCGGGACTTCGCTTCTCCTCGAACAAGCTTTGCTTCTCCTCATGTTGTCGTTCAGCGCTCTGTCTCGTCTCTTCTCCTGTCCCCTCCTGCCCTGTCGTTTGCGCTGGTAAGCACTCTTTATCATGTTATACCAACACGTTGGTCAGATAATAATATACAGTCACAGAACGGCAAACCTTCGAAGTATAACGATTGCCACTCAAAGGTTGTGAAGGCGAAGGACAGCAGTTTCACGCTATCCCTATAGCCTTCTTCTTCCTCCAGATTTTGTAGCCTTCCTGTTTTATTATTTTACAATATGAAAGTTCCGCTGCG